ACCGGTGACGCCGGTTCGAAGTCCTTCACCGCGCCGTCGTGGTAACAATCGGCGCAGGACGTGAAGGTGTCGCGATCCCAATAGGGTTCGCTGCCGGTCAACGCCTCAAGGGCGTCATACGGATCGCCATTAGGCGATTGCTTCTTAACAACCGTGCAGGTGATCTCCGCGCTCACGCGCAGATCGGACGAGCCGCAACTGGGGCATCTCATCCGGGCGTCGGCCTTTCCGCGGCTGTCCGCGTCGCGGGTTCGGTCGCGCTGTGTCTTCAAGTCGTTCATGGTCGGATCTCCTGTGTGAGGTGACGAAGGCCCGCTTTCTTTCCCCTCGGCGGGCCTCATGCCCGGAACCCGGCCTTTGACTTTTCGGAAAGCGCCCGCACCTCGGGTACAGAGGGGCGGAAGGAGGTCATGCGACGCGCTCCGCGCCGCCGTCGGCGAACAGGGTGAGGACGGCGTAGGCGCCACCGTCGAGCTCCTCCGCGAAATCCTCATTGAGGGCGTGCGCTTCCTCGCGCGCCTCATTCAGACAGCCAATCCCGTATTCAGGGGTTTCGGGGTAGCGACCGTCCGGATCGACGATGGCATAGCCGAGAATGATCCTTGAGCCTGACATGGCAGGCCTCCTTTCGTTGTTGGAATGGGTAGGCGTTGATGCCGGCGTCAGAGCAATGACGTCTGCGTCGGCGCGTCGCGTTCCGAACCCGTTTCGGCGGCCGGCTCCGACTCGACGGTGAAGTCGACGGTCTCGATCCTGGCGATGCGATAGAGCGTTCCGGTCGTCACGCCGCGGTAGCCGATCCCGCGTTTGCCGTACCGCTCGNNGTGATGGGTCCGGACGTCTTCGCGCCATTTGCGGGCATGATCGCTAGCCGGCGGATCGAGCCGGTCGAGAATGCGCAACGGGCAGTCTATGGCGACCGGTCCCATGTCCTCGGACATGTCCTTCCAGCCGAGGGTATAGCCGTCGCTGGCGCGCGGGACATGATTGACGAGGCAGACACGGGCGAGTGTGCGAACCTCGCCCTTTGTCTTGTTCGTCCAGCGCATGGCGGCGTAGTAGCGGCGCATCTGAACCAGCGCGCTGTCGAGGATCTCCCATTTGCCGGCGTCGTTCTCGCTTTCGAAGTGGGCGTCGAGATAGGCGCGGACGCCGCCGCCGCGATAATCGGAGGTGTAGGTCCAACCCATGGTTCGCCTCCCTCACGCCGCGGACCGGACGCCGGACTCGTCGGCGTTCGGTTGCTTGCTGTCGGCGGTCCGGTGTCCGGCCCGTGCGAGCACGAAATCGGCCGCCTTCTGCGCGTCAGCGGCCGCTTTCAGGATGAAGCGCTTGTCGTTTTTCAGCGCCTTGAGCCAGGAGCCCACATAGGCGGCGTGATCCTCGACATGGTCGGGGGGAAGGCCGATGTTGGCGCCCAGGATGGCGGAGCCTATCTCGGCGACGAGCTCTTCAAACGCGTACTGAGGATCGCCGAAGGTCTTGCCCTTGGTGCGGTCGAGGCGATGAGGCGCGCCCGACCAGTGAATCGTCTCGTGCGCACGGGTC